TGGTTGTTATGGTGGTTGGATATTTGAAATTGCCAACAAAACCATCACCACCATCTTAACCACCACGATCCCATTCCCCAGAAACTGCCGAGCAAACACCAGTGGACTTGTGAGAGGCGGCCAGGATGCAGAGGGAAGCGGAAGAGGTTTGGATCAGTTTAAGCAAGATTTGTCGAACTCACCATAACTTCAAGTGAAGTTCTCTTTTCCCCTGTTTTGCTAAATGGGGAACTTGCGCAGCAGGCAGAAATGAGGCGACAGCAAGAACAACAGGCAGCACTGCAGGCAGATCGAGAGTCAAACGCTGCAACCAATGCACCCTGCAGAATTGTTTGTAAATGTGAAGATACAGACACATGAACCCACCTGAGAGGGCCTGCTTTGTGGGAGCTCTTATGCCAAGTTTCTGCAGTAAGCACTGGCTGAAACACTTCAAACATATGTGAACCCAAGAATCATGAAACACACCGTTTATTCTGGATAGTGTTCCTACAAGGTTGTGGCAATGCGACGGTTCCGCACAATGGCACGGTGATGGCACATAATCGGTTGCATTTTGTTTACCAAAAAGTCCAAGATGTTAATCAATGGTGCATCATTTTAGATCTTACAAGTTATGTACACCACATTGAGCAAAGTCAAGCCCTCAAACCTTTGAGCCAATAATATCACTTCTTTGGGTTTAACTCAGATTGAAGTAGCCCTAGCAGATTTGCCAGGAACCACCAATGCTGAACTACAGCGGACGCAAGGCAACGCATTTGTGCAGATGCGGCAGATTATTTCATCCAGGAATACTTTTTAAAACCAGAAAGATTTGATTTGCCATGCACTTACTCGCACTGTGCACAGATTTCACGCACCTTCATAAGGTTAAGCTCACCGCCCAGGGTTCGCTGGCACTCAGGACTATACCACGCCAACCCCTGGGACACAGACACCCAGGACGAAGGCTGGGCCTGGCATTTGCCACACATAGTGTGAATGAGTGCATTATATATATATACATTTATACATATACATTGTGTATATATATATACAGTACATACATGAGATACAGGCAGAATAAGCGTAGACTACTTTAGTAAGGAGGGGCGCAGTTGTGCTGAGAAAGTGCACTAAATCATGTAAAGCGATAGGCCTCCCCAAAATGAGAATTTGTAACCATATATGATCAATGGGAATTTCAGGATCCCAAAATGGAGGTACTGTACCATATAAGGCCATATTTTGTGGTGATATTCACTTACATAGGCCTTATATAGGCCTTATATATGGTAGGTACCTCCATTTTAGGATCCTGAAATTCCCATTGATATGAGAATGCATTAAACTTGATGTAAACCAAGCAAATATTGTTGTGTACCTTCACGCAAAAGGCAAACAAAATTGATGAAGACAATTTAACCTCTAGTGCCCGTGTTTCTTGCAGATGCTATACCATTTGTTGTCCAAGGTGATTGAACCGTTGCTTCCTGCAGCCACTTTGCCTTTTTCCCAGGTCCCAACGCAGTAGAATTAAAATAAACTCAATGCAATTGAATTCTGAATTAAATCACAAATCAAATTAAATCCTATTCTGAATTCCGTTTATTTCGTTGTTCTTCAATTTGTTGTTTCTTCTTCCTTCGCTTTCTTTTCCTGCTCCTTGTTCCTTTTGTTTTTCAAGTTTCCTCTTTGTTTGACATGTTTCTTTCTTTTCCTTTCTTGATCATCTGGCCTCGATGTGGAAGGTTTCCAGCCGCGGAGCAGAATCAAGTCAGGACGGCATAGATTGTCAAACCCAAAGTGCTACTTTGATTGAAGTTAGTAGAGCGCCTGGCGCGGTGTGACTTCCGTGAGACTGGACTGAAATTTTGGGGAGACTTGGAAAGTCTTGATATGTGATGCAGGATGGCCGGTCAAATTCACAGTCTAGGAGACGGCGATCCAACAAGGTGCGCCAAATTGAGCCGAGTTCTTTTGTGGCCAATGACTGTTGTACAAAGCTCATTGCTGAACTTTGCAATCCTTGACAGTTGCAACATCTTGTGACGGATTTTCTGAGGACCGTAGTACTGGACGATCTTGGCATTCAAAGGAGCCGTTGCCCTTTTGGTCTTTCTGAAATTGTTTCAAGAAAAAAATCATGAGGGTCGCTCTGTGACTGCCTGCCACGGGAACAAAATCTGGTAGGAGATCCAAGATGAGTTGCAGGCATATGGGAGACATCGCCGTTTCCCCGATTTCAAACGAAGAAGGACACCGGACTTAGTCCAATTTAACCTCTAGTGCCCGTGTTTCTTGCAGTTGCCATACCATTTGTTGTCCAAGGTGGTTGAACCGTTGCTTCCTGCAGCCACTTTGCCTTTTTCCCAGGTCCCAAAGCAGTAGAATTAGAATAAACTCAATGCAATTGAATAATTAAATCACAAATCAAGTTAAATCCTGTTCTGAATTCCGTTTATTTCCTTTTTCTTCAATTTGTTGTTTCTTCTTCCTTCGTTTTCTTTTCCTGCTCCTTGTTCCTTTTGTTTTTTCAAGTTTCCTCTTTGTTTGACATGTTTCTTTCTTTTCCTTTCTTGATCATCTGGCCTCGATGTGGAAGGTTTCCAGCCGCGGAGCAGAATCAAGTCAGGACGGCATGATGTTCCGGTCATTTTTATGGCTTTCCCAGTGGTTTCCTTTTTTTCGCTTCAAGATTGTCAATCCCAAAGTGCTACTCTGATTGAAGTTAGTAGAGCGCCTGGCGCGGTATGACTTTCGTGAGGCAGACTGGACTGATATTTTGGGGAGACTTGGAAAGTCTTGATATGTGATGCAGGATGGCAGGAGTTCACATTCAAAGTCTAGGAGACGGCGATCCAACAAGGTGGGCAAAATCGAATTGATGGATTGTTGGACTTTCATCGCCTCAGCCGAGTTCTTTTGTGGCCAATGACTGTCGCACAAAACCGCTCATTGCTTCTGAACTTTGCAATCCTTGACAGTTCCAACATCTTGTGACGGATTTTCTGAGGACCGTAGTACTGGACGATCTTGGCATTCACAGGAGCCGTTGCCCTTTTGGTCTTTGACGTTGAAACTGGGAAACTGAGTAATGTGGACAAGCCAATCATAGGCTCACCATTTGGGGATGTTTTCTTGCAGACAGCGTGATGTGGTTTGACTGTTTGACTGGTTTGATATGGCATATATAATATATATATATAATAATATATATATAATATGCACATATATATATTATATGATATATATCTTATATATATATAGTATATAATATATATATATATTATATTATATATATATTATATATTATATATTATATATATATTATATAATATATATAATATATATATGCATATATGGTAACTTGACACTGGTTCTGACAGAATTTTGGGTTCCAAATTGAGAAAGACAGACGTTGACAAAGCGGTGAAGGCACCTCTTGAGTACTGGAACAAAGAGAAGTATTTGGAGGCCGCAAGGAACTGCAAGGCAGGGTGAAATCGGTCATACCGATGCTGTGGTATGATGGAAACATATGGAAACAGCCTCCATGTCAGATAGCTTGGTAGCTTGGCTGTGGAATTCTCAGGTTTAAGTCCGTAGAGTCCGTAGAGACTAAGCGAATTTGTCCTCAAACACATCACCTTTTCTGTGTACATCTGTGTACCACTCTCCTGAAATGCAGGACAAGCTGACTTGGGCCTTGCCTCGTGCTGACGGCTGCAGCCGTTACTCTCTTCCAGTCTTTGCTGATGGCACCAGGAATGCTCGCGCATCCGCGGATCTTGCAGGCACCACATGTTGAAACATGTTGAAACCACGAAACGTGAGAACTTGGAGGTGAAGATATCAGTTTGCTGGTTGAGTCGGTTGGACCCTTTGAATATCTTTGAATCGAAGTCTCAAGTTTCTGAAAAAATCTCTCTGATCTTTACATTCTTTTACTATCGACCGTTTCATACCGTTTCAAACAGTGAGGATATGGGTCAATCTGTGAGGATGGTCCCCGTCAGGCGCTCTCATCCAGCAAAAGATGTGGCAGCGTGGCGCCAGAAGTCTCATCCTCCATGGCCCACCGAAGCTTTGCCAATTCCTCCAGGAGTGTTACTTTGCAGGCGGTTTCGTAGTGCACACCAGCTACATCCAGCTACCAAGTTGGAAGTAGCAATCATATGCAATCATAGCAACAATTCAGATGACTAAGATGTTGGATGAATCGAACTTGACCTGTTCGTCTCAGGCGGTCTCTACGAATATGACGTGGTGTCCATGCCAAAGCTGTGTGGAACACCGGATCACGTCTTCGAGGTGCAGATTGTGAAGAAAGAGACGGACGTCCCGGCATCGACCAGGAGCCGCGGCACCAAGTTGGTCAGAGAGCACGCAGATGGCTGCAAGGCGGTCCTCTCAGACCTCTCTGAGACGGAGCCCAAGGTGGGACTGACATAGGTTTTCTTTTAAAGCTCTTTAAAGGAGTATCCTATAGTTTGTTTCATCGTGCCTCTCCTGTCTCTTCAATCTTTTCTGGCCTGGAGATCCCGTGGCAAATTGCTGCCATTGGTTCCTGGGATCCTCTTCTTATCTCCCATGTTTTTTGCCTAAACTTTTTTGAGTGTTGAATTGAGTTGCATGTGATTGCATTTGGTTGCATGTGATTGCATTTGATTGTAGATTGTAGATTGATATGCATATGTAGATTGCATTGCGTGTTTTTTTTTCGTTTTTTTTTGTCCTGGAGATCCCGTGGCAAATTGCTGCCATTGGTTCCTGGGTTTTTTCCGTTGTTCGTTTCTGTCCGGTTGTGTTGCCCCCTGCAGGTCCATGAATTCAGTGGCCTCTTGGAGACAATCCAAGAGGCCCAAGCTGCTTGTTTCACCGCACCAACCGCCCTACACCGTCATAAGAACGGCAGGGTCTGTGTCTGTTTCACCCATCTTAGATAAGATTAGATTAAATTAGATATATAGATAGACAAGATATAGATAGATCAGATAAGATTAGATTAGATCAGATAAGGTAAGGTAAGATTAGATTAGATAGGATAGATAGATTAGATCAGATAGATAGATAGACAGATAGGGCCCTGGCATGTGTCCGGGACAAAATTTCTGACATACCCTGGCATATTTCTTGACAGTCGTTAAATGATGAAGGAAGACGGGAGAGAAGTCGATGAGACGGCGGTGCATCGGACAGCAAAATAACAAGGTGGAAAGACCCCCCAATGCGTACCCCAACTTTCGCTACACACTGCATGGATCTGCATGGTGTAAATCGAAATTCTTCAGGTGGTCACTTTAGACTCTTGTTCTTGGGGCCTTTTTGGCATTTTTCCCGAATTTGGCCAATTCTATGGAGCGGGTTTTGGATGCCCTGTTTGGTTCTGTATTTTGCGGGCCCATGCCACCTGCCCAAACTAATTTCCATAATTTGCTTAGCACGAACCTTGACAAACGATGGCAATGCATGACAAGCACACGACAAACGGATGAAACACGGAAGCACGTGACAGACGCTGCATGATAAACCATGGCAAAACCACGAATAAACTTTGATTTTTATACGGTAACGCCATTTAGATATGTGGAGGGCGGGCCAAACCGCGAGGCCAGTTCCTATATTTAAATGTAGTTACGGTATGTTTAAATGAATTGGACTCCGTATGTTTAAATGGCTGGGCGGGCCAAGGAAAACCTTCCCGGAGGCAGTCTAAAATACCTCTTCGTATATTTAAAAATCCGTATATTTAAATGTAGTTACCGTAATCCGTAGCCGTTTTAGGACAGCAAAAACTTCTTTGCAATGGCAGCAGTTGAAGCAGGGTGCCTTGTGTGAGCGGACCCCAATATGTCCGGGTCTCAGCCGGTCCCCATGTACAGTTGATCCAGTTGATCCAGTTGATCCAGTTGGTTGTAAGGAGCGGGCCAAGCCGAATTTCCTGGCACCGTCAGAGACGGCTGAGGAGTGCGCAACAGAGACACTATGTACAAACGAGATTACATTGCTTGAGGAGTAGGATTACAAACGGGGAACAAGTTTCTAGGGTGGAAGGTGTAGGTGGTACGCCTCTCCAGGTCTTTGACGTCCTGGCTTATGTCAATCCGTGTGGTCGCTTTCGGCAGGAGCCCATGCTCGAAGTAGCATCCCACAACCTACCAAATACTTGGGTTGTCGTGGCCCAAGCTTGCGGAGGGCAGAATTTGTCCAAACTCCCAAACCATCCCAAACCCAAACGGCAAGGTGTCATATGAGTCATATGTTTATTTCGCAGCAATGGATTTGAGAGCCAAGGATGTGGAAATCTCAAAACCAAAAGGGGAAAGGGGCAAGCAGGCGGCCAACACGTGCATTGACAGATATATATATATATGTATTAAGTAATATATATATATTAAGTAATATATATATAAAGTAATAGTAATATATATATATATACATGTTGTATGTATATATATATATACATATATATTGTATATATATATATACATATATTCATACACCCTATACATATATATATATATATATGCACATACATACATGAGATACGGGCAGAATAAGCGTAGACTACGTTATATAGTAAGGAGGGGCCCAGTTGTGCTGAGAAAGTGCACTAAATCATGTAAAGCGATAGGCCTACAAAATGACAATGTGTAACCATATATGAGAATGCATTATTTTTTTTGTAAACCAAGAAAATATTGTTGTGTACCTTCACGCAAAGGGCAAAAACTTTGAAGACAATTTTAACCTCTAGTGCCCGTGTTTCTTGCAGATGCTATACTGTACCATTTGTTGTCCAAGGTGATTGAACCGTTGCTTCCTGCAGCCACTTTGCCTTTTTCCCAGGTCCCAAATCCCAAAGCAGTAGAATTCAAATAAAATCAAGAATTCTGAATTAAATCACAAATCAAATTAAATCCTATTCTGAATTCCGTTTATTTCCTTTTTCTTCAATTTGTTGTTTCTTCTTCCTTCGCTTTCTTTTCCTGCTCCTTGTTCCTTCTGTTTTTTCAAGTTGCCTTTTTGTTTGACTTTTTTTTTCTTTTCTTTTCTTGGTCATTTGGCCTTGATGTGGAAGGTTTCCAGCCGCAGAGCAGAATCAAGTCAGGACGGCATGATGTTCCAGTCATTTTTTATGGTTTTCCCAATGGTTTTCCTTTTTTTTCGCTTCACGATTTTCAAACCCAAAGTGCTACATTGAAGTTAGTAGAGCGCCTGGCACGGTGTGACGTGAGGCAGAGACTGAAATTTTGGGGAGACTTGGAAAGTCTTGATATGTGATGCAGGATGGCAGGAGTTCACATTCACAGTCTAGGAGACGGCGATCCAAGGTGCGCCAAATGGAATTGATGGATTGTTGGACTTTCATCGCCTCAGCCGAGTTCTTTTGTGGCCAATGACTGTCGTACAAAACCGCTCATTGCTTGTGAACTTTGCAATCCTTCAAGCGAAGAAGTACTCGTACCACTAGTCTCCCGTACCACATGGTGACATACATGAGTAGTTCCAAAGGCATGTCAGATAATCAGATACGGATATGTTTCCGAGATGCGCCAAAGGTTTTTGGCAAAGTCAACCATAATGATCATAATGTGTTTGCCACGTTCAGACATATCAACATCAGAATCATCGATGTTCACCAGAATTGTGGTGAAACTTTTCTTCACATGTCTTCACCAAGTTCAAAAAGGTTTGGCAATTTCTCCAACAGACTTAAGACACCACACGGTGGAACTCATCAAAGAACTGCAGGAATCATAGCCATGGGCTTGCCAGAGGATCTGCGCCAGCCTGCCCCGGCTCCATTGGACAAACAGGTTGGAATGGACATGATGGAATGCCATCCCAAGGATGCAGTCCGACGGTTCTTCAATCGCTACACTGCCAAACCGGCCACTTCGTCTGACTACTTCTACCAGGTTCAGAAAGCTGATGGTGGCAAGATCTGTGAGTTGCACACTCCATCCTTCTACTCACGAGTTTTCCAGGGCACGGTGTGCAAGACTATCAAGGATGCAGAGACGAGTGCTGCTGAGAAGTTCTGCCAAGATCCGGATGTGCAAGCTGCGGCTGTCAAATTGCCTCCCAATATGAAGGCTTGCCGACGATCCGCTGGCTCTGGAGCTTCAAAGCGACAGTGGCAGGCCAGGGAGGATCACGGCGACGTTGCTACGAAACGTCAGCGTGCTGAGAAATTGCTCAGCGACTTCAAGGGATGAACCTACTAGACTTGTTGAAATGCCCCAAGAGGCACTGCTTGTGTGACTGGAAAAATGGTGCGTTCGCTGCAGCAGCATAGAGATTGTCAAAGATGACAGGAGCTGGACTTGAAGACTGCTGCAAGACTCAGAAACAACCAGGATGTGGATGGTACACTTCAAATATCTGGTTCCGTTCAATTTCCAAGCCCTTCCAAGATCATAGATTTTTTGCTGACAGGTGCTTCAACTTGGTATGCAACACCATTACTTCCGGCTCTCTTGGTTTCTCGACAGATAGATGGCACCAGTCAAGCCATTGTGAGAGGAATTAAAACATCCCGCAAGAACCAAGTGCACAAAATAGAGACCTAAATATAATTCTTTGGGACTGCAACAGTTTTGAGTTTGCAGCGCATATCATGAGCATGAAATTGTTGTAGTTGTTTGCTCCTTTGTCAATCATCAAGGCTGATGAACCTGCTCGATTTTCTCTGGAGATTTCCGATGAGAGCAGGCACGCAGAACATTGAGCAGTGGACTTTTTGGGACGTGTTGGGACGCACATGAAATCCAATCATTTTCGTTTACAAAATTGTTGTCTGCCAGTCATGCTCGCAGGACGTGACAGTTGTGAACCACAGAGATCTGAATGAGAACATCAGCAAGGACAGTGTCTGAAGTCCGCTGTTTTTGAGCTGCAGCTACTGCTTGTGTCCTTTCGAATCTCTGACTTCGGATTTCAACGTCCATTATGCCCTTTGAATTTCTTTGTAGGAAAACACACAGGAGTTTGAGCAGAAATCAGGACTCGGGTCGTTCGCGGCTCATTTGGGGCATGTCTCGCGATCAACGCAGAAGATTTTGTTGAGGTAATTTTGGAGTTCATCCATGTCTTTGGCATATTTTGTCATTTGCAGAGGGGATTCTTGGATAATTACCCATGAACCTGCGGTGCTGCTGAGGTCTCACTCCGCTGCAGCATCGAACGGCCACGTGGAGATCGCCAAGCTGCTGGCCGCGAAGGCCTTGGTGGACATCAAGGACCACTACGGCTGGGGGCCTCAGCCGATGTCACACCCGTTTTGAAAACAGTTTTTCACCGGCAATCACAATAACAGATATAACAGCTGCAGTTCAACGAATGTGGCATGTCTTAATGACTTATGATTTGTTTATACATGTTCCAAGTTCTTTCAACTTCAATTGGCATGGGATTTCCCTGGATTTCTCATCTCAGGTTCCCGTCTTAACAAAGTTCCCTTAAAATTCAAGAACCGTGATTTTGGGGCGTGTCTGTTGAAAAATTAGGTTTAGGGTTCATCCATGTCTTTGACATCCGTGTGAGCCAATGAGAAGAATGAAACAGCGCTTTCCGCACAGCTTCCACATGTCAAATTCTGCAGTCCGTACGGCGATCAATTGAAGTGATATTGGAAAGGATCAGCTTGAATGTCAGCTGTGGTTCCCAGGCCAAAAGCTTGTGGATCTCGGGACACTAAAGGGCAAGACGGAAATGGTGAACCTGCTAATGGGAAAAGCCTCTTGGCTGCACCCAATGGCATAGTGAAACATGGTGAAACTGCTGGCACTGGTGGGAATGAAAACATGAAAGGCGTAGGGATAGTTTGGGTCGGTACCAGGGATGTTTACGCATCCGATTTTGGGCACATGAATAACGAAGCCTAAACCCATTGCCAAATCATCACAAGCCACTGGCCAACAATTGAGCACAGGTGAACCACGAATTTGATTGAATCTGCAGAATTGATTCGGCGAGAGCAAATCAGATTATCAGATTATGCGCGGACAGAACAGGTATTTTTTGTTTGCGCTTGACTATCTTCAGCACTACATGGCCTAAAGGTCACCGATGGGCACGCACAGGAGTAGGCATTTGTTTGCTAAGATGTTTCTTCTGTCCATATCAATTTTTGGGGTTGAATATTTTTGAGCGCCAGATGTTGTTTGCACATTTGCTCCGCCAAAGGCATGAAATAAAAGGCCTGGAACCGGGAATAGCTCTTTTGGTGTCTCATGTGCCAGTCAGTTTTTGCTGGTAATGACAGGTAATATAGAACTGGAGCCATCATCAAAACGTTCATGGGAATGATAAATATGGCTAGGGCTAGCAAGCAGCTCCTACTTGTCTGTGAGGAGCTTTGTTTCATTGTTAATTAGCAAACATGCGAAACTTGATGAACATTGCAAACACCAAAGCTTTGACTGTTGGGCTTATAACAACATGCTGGGTATCTTTAAACATTAATCAGTTGTCCTTGGCAGCAAGATCTCTCCAATGCAGAACCCTATCCATATAGCTATACACCTTTGTAAATTGTTTTGGTGCAAGAAATGCTAGACATGTCTGCGAGTGTCTGACAACATGAAGTTTGTGGGAAAACATCTCCAGTCACCTGCTTCGCCTCCCGTTTTCAGGTTTGGTATGGTGATTTCGACATACTTCAGTTTCGGGCTTCGGGGCCCGAAATTGAAATATGTCGAAACCACCATATTTCGGGCCAAAGGTGCCTTTGGAGAGCATCCTGTGAAATGATCAAAGATGTGCCGTCCAACGCCGTTGGGTCCACAGGGTGTGGAATAAAATTGGGTCCCCGCAAAGTTGGGCGGCGTTCGATGGTTTAATTATGTTTTATGAATTCAATGCAAAAACCAGAACCTAAAATGATAGATTGCATGGGGTTTCTCTCTATTTCAGTTTGGGATCAGGATTGAGCTTAGCAAGTGGCTGGAATCTCTGCTGTGCAGCCATTAGTTGTATGACATCATGTTATGTTCAATTCTTTTGTCTTTCAGTGTGATGACATGGTGAGCAAATGTCGTGAAATGACTTCTAGGTCCAAACCATGATTTTAGGTGGCAACTCAAGTAGTCTTGTTTCCAACGGAAGAACATCTTCAAAGTTTTGCAAGTCACGTTGATTGCATTTGATGCGCGCAGCTTATTCACTCTTCTTTAGATTATGCGGGTGTTGAAAGTACTCTTCCTTACACTAGTGACCCTGTAATGCCGCCATGAGAGCAAAGCAACGGAAACGAGGCAAGCCATGTCTATATGTGCTGGGCTTATGTTTATGCCTTCCATATGCTTGTTAGAAAGCTGCTGACAAGAAATTCACCTTGACAGGCTGGGTCCTTTTGGTAACGGTGTGGCTTGTCTCCAGGCTTGTTGCCTCACCCTTAGTTGACAGTGGATCCAAGTGGAGTTGCAACTTACTTCTTTTTGAGAGCCTGTTGCCAATCCAATTGGGTCCCGCATTTGTGCCTTAAGGTGAGCCCCATATCTTTCTGTTCGCAAAAGCCTAGTCAGCGGCACGGTTTGGGACGGCTTGTTGCAGCACCAAACAAGGACCATACAGAGGGAAGAACCGTTGCACCCAGTTCACAGACGTCTTGCGTTTTGTGCACGTCAGGCAAACTTAAAGGTTTGATTTTTAGAGCAATCGTATGCTGTTTCCATTTGGTTCGGTGCAGGACCCACCAGGAATCAAACCAGTCGAGGAGATGGGGTAGTTGACGTCCCCAAAAATGTGCTGACTTGAAGTGCTCCTTCCCCAAAACATAGAGCAATAATTCCTATGTTCCCATTCAGCTCTGCTTGGTGACCTTCCGACGAATGAACTTTTGCCATGGAATTTGTAACAGACAACTGGGTCAGAGTGCTTTCATAGCGCCTCTTTTTCAGCCCGCAGGAATCGGCAAGAGATGAGGCACACGGCTGTCAGCCAATTGAATTCCCGTTTTTTCACAAAAGACACCTTCACTTTGTCCAATTGTTGAAAGCCGTTGCTTCACGTTTCGTCTTCAAACAAGTTTGCTTTTGCTTCGAAATTCCCTGCGACATGTCACACATGTGACGTGATTGCTCCAAACCTGTCATCTAGTGAATCTAGTGTCCAGTTTTGTTTCTTCAAACCGAAAGAAACAGAAGAAGAGCTGAATGGAAGTTATGTGCTGTTTGCAACAGACTGCGCTCAGGCTGCACATGAAGCCAAGAACCATCAATTCTATTTGAAGAGACGTTCTAGTTAGTCTTCATTGCATAAGCACCTCGTTTCCCGGTTTGTCTTCATTTTTAGTGTTTGTTCCGCAAAAACTGGCTCCGCTATGAGCACTCGTGCAGGCAGATGCCTTGACTTCGGCACGACGTCTGCTGACATTTGCATTGGACCAGCAAGCAACTGCACAAGCGCAAGTAAACATCGCCGTGGATGACTGGCAAAAAGCCAAAGAAACAGGAGATGAGCAGAAGGTGAAGGAGGCGAAGGAGGAAGTGAAAGAGGCGGAGGCGAAGGTCGAAAAGGCGAAGAAGGAGGTGGAAAAGGCGGAGGAGAAGGTGAAGGAGGCAAAGAAGGAAGTGAATGAGGCGGAGGAGAAGGTGAAAGCCCAGCAGGAGAAGGCCATTCGCTGCACAGCTTCAGTGTGGTCACAGTTCTCCCGAAAGATGCAAAAAATAGATGAAAGCTATTTCGCATATCTCCACATTCTTTGGTTCAAACAGTTCTGTTTCTTCAGTGAATACCCTCAGTAGGCCTCCAAAAGATGAATGAATCCCACAAGGTAAACAAAAGGATGGTACACAGGATTGAAAGAACCAGAGAGTCAAATAACGCTTAACAGACTCAACACGACATCTTAACACCGGAGATGTTCTCTTGGTCCAGGTGCCAGGCTTGGAGGAGAAGGAGGAATCCCTAACCTTACTTGAAAAGTTTGCCGAAGAGTTGGGTGATCTTGAAGAGCGCATCTTGAACAGCCGCATCAACAATATAGAAGAGAGGCCTTTCTTGGAGAGGGATGAAGTGATTCAAAGCATCGTGACAGAGATGAAGGAGACGCAGCGGCTGAAAATCAACAAACCAAGAGTCGTTTGTTTGTGGAGCCCTCGAGGGATGGGAAAGAGCTCGGTCATTCGACGCCTGGCCAAGATGGATGAATTTGCAGAAAGCCGACGATGTGGACGCTTGCTGATATTCGACGCAGCATGGATTCCCTCTGGTCAAATGTCGGTTGAAGCCTCTACGTTGGTGTCTGCCATGGTCCTGTGGCACCTTTTGCAGCTGCTTGACGGCTACGGCGTTAAGTTGGCGGGGCAGGTGGTCAACTTCAAACGCATGGATTTCAAGGATGTGGTCGAGGTCGTCGAACGTCGTTCAAGACCAACTGGTTCGGTCAACAGCTTTGAAGCTTGGGTTAGGTCAGCTTGCACGACTAAGGATGATGTTTTCAAGCAGTGGTGTTTGGTAACGGCTGCAGCCTTCAACGCTCAACAGGACTGTGCTTGCTTGGTGTTGTTGGATCAGACTGAGCTCCTTGTCAAACAAACGCTGGATCAGCGAAGCTCCCTTGGCGGAAGCAGATCAAGGTTCACCGAAGTGTGTAGCCAGTTTCCTCAGCAGATGGCTGTTTATTGCACAGGTACCATCAATATGCAGGTTGACTTGCCAGCAGAGGAGTACTCGCGTCTTGTTATTGAGTCTTTACCAGCCCTCTTGCCATTATCTTTTAAAGGTGCCAAAGAAGCCATGGTACAGTGGGGAGGGACACAATACGGCGAGGAGGTGCTCGATCAAATATATCTTTTCTCTGCTGGGGTCCCACGACTTCTGGAATATGTGTTTCAAACAGATGGTGAATTAGCATCAACTTTTGAGATTGCATTCAACGCCATGTCCGAATGTTTTAAAAATTCCTATTCATCTGCAGCGCCTTTCTTTGATCAACCAGATGTGGCATTGTCGCTGGTTCTTTGCTCAGCAGTTCGTTGGAACGCAACCGACAGGGAGCTTGTGCCTGGGACATCGACAAGGTGGTCAGACATTTTCAACGCAGGAGCCGCATTTCCAGATGGCGCTTCTGTGTTGGTGCCGCTCGTTTGGTGGTTTCGGGATCAGAAAAGACAGAAAGTGCTGGCTCAAAAGGCCCGAGGGTTGAACATCAGCCTCGAAGGTCTCTTGCCAGATCCTGCCGATTTGCTTCAGGCTCCACAACAAGGCCCGCTTTCCCGAGGGACACTGTGGGAAAAGCAGGTTTGCAATGCTTTGGCCGCCCGTTTTTATTTGTATTGCCTGGCAGATCACAAAACTCCATGCGACACCTACGCACCGTTCCTAGAGATCTATCCTACGACAGACAACCATCTACGCAGTGTTTGCTGGAGTGACGGGGTCGAGCATCCAGATGAGGAAGCAAGTGTCCTTGACAGGGTCGGGAAGGCTATCAAGTCCAACAAGAACATCAAGAATGCTCACCATGACTTGCTGATTCCTGTGAAGCGAATTGAAACAGGAGATCTAGAGTATAGCCGCACAGTGCCGTTACGGAAATCCCAAAACTGCAACGGAGCTGACTAAAACATGCCAGAACAAAGCGTGGAAACCCAGGACCAGTGACCCGAGCTCGGAGGTTCCTGACACGAATGTACTGTTGCAAATTTGTTCCACAAGTGAAGGGATGCAGAAGTTCCAGAAAACTACACCCTGGGCAAAGCGGCAAGAGGAGAAGAGATATTCACTGATGAGCTGTAAAGCTATCATTGCGCAGCTTCACATGCTCCGCATCTTGTGATACAACTGAATCATGTAGCTATGGCTTTAGCATGGCATGGCCAAAGTTGCCTTTCCCTCAAAAGTGAAGATGCTGAGGCGTTTTGAAAAGCTTTGCTGCCCACCGACAGGATTTTAAGTTGCCTACCCCCAAAGGTAGTAGATAGTTTTCAGTTAGTCTTGGAACACAGCTCCCACAACTGTTCGGCGATGGCCCCGTGATCGCAGGCAAGACGTATCGGGTCTTTCACAATACAGAAACAACAACACATACATAACAATACATACTTCATAATACCTGCAAAACAATACATACACAACACTGCATACACAAAAATACATACACAACAATACATACAAAACAATGCATTCATAACAAAACCCCCATAACCATACAAACACAAAAATAAGTACACAACAATCCATACAGAACAATACCTACACAACGGTGCATACTTCACAATACCTGCAAAACAAAACATACAGAACAATGCATTCATAACGAAACCCCCATAACCATACAAACACAAAAATCACAAAAATAAGTACACAACAATCCATACAGAACAATACCTACACAACGGCACATACATCAGCATACCTACTTAACAATACATACAGAACAATACCTATAGAACAATACATACTCAACGATACATATTTCACAATACATACACAACAATACATACATAACAATACATACATAGACATACTTCACAATACATGCAGAATGATACATGCACAACAACGCATACACAACAGTACGTACACAAAAACACCTACTTCACATTACATACATAACGTTACATACACACATTTGTATAAGAGCGTCTCTGTGTAAGATGTTACAGTTTCTGTGTGTAAAGTCTCTGTGTGTAAAAGCTTCTCTGCGTAAAAGTTTTCTGTGTGCAAAAGTGTGCTGTGTGTAAAAACGTTTTGTGTAAGAGTTTGTTGTGTGTAAAAATTTCTGTCTGTGTGTACAAAAACTCTTTGTGTAAAAAGAATCTATGCGTAAAAACTTTCTGTGTGTAAAAATGTTTGTGTTAAAAATGTCTTTGTGTAAAAAGATTCTGTGCATAAAAGCTTGCTGTGTGCAAAGTCGTCTCTGTGTAAATGCGTGCTGTGTGGAAAAAAATATGTGTGTAAAAGCTTGCCGTGTGTAAAAGTTTCTGTTTGTGAAAGCTTCTCTGTGTAAGAGTTTCTCTGTGTACAAGCTGTCTGTGTGGACAAGTTTCTCCGTGAAAAAGTGTCCCATGCGTAAAATTTTCTCTGTGCAAAAGTTTTTCGGCGTAAAAACACCTGTGTCTAAAAGCTTCTGTGTGCGAAAGTTTTCCTGCGTGTTTAAGAGCCTCTCTCTGACGGTCACACTTTTCTGACACACTGAGGAGCTTCGATGAGATGAGAAACGTTGAGCAGTGCTCAGATGAGATGAAAATGGTTGAGACTAACTTAGATGATATGAGAAGAGATGAGAGGAGCTTAGATGAGATAAGAAGAGTTCAGATGAGATGAGATGATGTGTGAAGTGTGGAGTCTGAAGTGTGGAGTGTGAAGCGTGCAGTTTCAAGTGCGACCTTTGGAACGCAAAGCGTCGCTTGGTGTTGCATTGCAACATGAATATGTGCGGGTCATGATCGTTGACGACGACAGCGCGGCAGCTTCGCAAAAAAAACGCGCACGCACGAGCCTGGCCAGCGCAGCGCGCAAGTTCTATGGATGAGAAAAACCCGAATTATAGTACAACCCCAAGGCAGCTTCCGCCCACCGTGCGGCTACTAAGTTACTGTTGAATGACATTAAAAATCATTAAAAATCATTATACGTCTGAATCTGTAGGCTGGACGATTTCAAGTCTGAAGCCAGTCGTAAGTTATTCAAGGTGACCTCCATGCCCAAGCTCGGGACGTCCCGAAGGCGAAGAACGCCGAAGGCGGGCTGCCGTGATTTGTGGCGTGACCTCGGCAGTGATAACGCTGTGAAGGAGAATCCATGAGAATCCCATAGAATCAACAGCGAAAAATGGTGTTACATCATACATCATGTTACATGCAGCTGTGTTTTTTGTTGGAAGTTCCATTTCTGTTCAGAATCTGAAACATTGAGCCTCAGCCCAAGTGATCTCTGGCAAGGACAACGAAGTGGTCTTGAATCATTTTTTTTCTGAGGACTGAGGGATTAAGGATTTCCAATATTCACATGTGTTTTTGCAGCCCGACATGCCGATGTTCAAAAGTGCTCACGCTGCAGAATGAACTGGTTCCAGGACTTGCTGTGTGCTGTCAAGAACCTAACCAGGCTGGGTGACCGTAGAGAAGTTTACTGAGTTGAGTTGGGAAGAAGCCTGTTTTGCTGAGCTGCCCCTGAGCTGCAATCGCACCAAGTTGCGTTTGGCAATCCCCTCCCAATCCCTCCCACCGTCAGTTGGTACTCAGTTCCAGAACTTAGGCGTTGTTGAAACCTGTTTGCATCTTTGGTTGTTTATGAACGGATGGATGCTGCCCTTTCTTGGCAGTCCGAAGGGCAGTACTGGCGCCTCATCAATGCCAAGCTCAGCAAGACAGAAGGCAGGACTCTGAGTTGGGAAAAGTCTGGGGCCAGGGGGTTGGTGATTGATGCATGTTGATTTGGCACACAGAAACCCATCAGTGTGCGTTTCACTTTTGCTGCCATTTACTCACAGTTGGCATTGTGCGATATCACCAACTGACCTTGCTAAGGCAGTTTCGCAATGCAGAGACTGCGTCGCCAGGCATAGCGATTTGGTTTGCAACTGAGGGTTCTCTTGCCTGCTGCTGTCATCTGGTCTCCCAGTGTTCTCCCTCTTTGTAACTGCTGTTTTATCCGGTAGTTGCTGTTGCTCTACAAAAAACTTTGACGAGTGCACAGAGTAGTGCTATTTCCCGATTCCTTATCGATTCTAAGTACCAGGATTGTGTTGTTGCTCGACCAAAGTTAGTTTCCGTGCCCATTTACTGTGTGCAGCATGGGTTCCAGTCAAAAGCCAGCAAACTCTAAAATTCAAGGAGAGATTTCAAGGGTTCAGAATTTGTTCAGTTTGACCCCAGTCTAGGTTAGTTTGAAATGGGATCTCAATCCGGCCCACTGTGTTTACTGTAATGATGTTTCCATGCAGATGCTGCGATTTAATTGCCTTCGGCAAGCCCGCCAACCATAGAAAGTGACCCCAAGGCAGTTTGATGTGCACTCTAGGTGGAAGCCCGCGAGAGAAGCAAAAGAGAAAAGAAGGAGAAGAAGAAGAATAAGAAGAAAGGAAGAGGAAGACAAAGCCGTAAAACGGAAGCGGCTTGTGTAGCAAGTGCTGGCTGTAACAACCTATTGATTGTATACCCCATTGGTACCGCCCCCAGCAAAATAGCGCCAGGTACTATGGACAGCAGACCGCTGCGTGGAAGGAGACAGGGTGGAAGCGGAGAGAGATTTACCAAAGGAAGTTGATGTGCACGCTAGGTGGAAGCCTGAGAGAGAAGCAGAAGAGGAGAGAATAAGAAGAGGAAGAAGAAGAGACGAAGACAGAGCCGTAGATCAGAAGCAGCTTGAGTAGCAAGTGCCTATAAGTGCCTGCTTGAACAACCAAGGACCGCATACCAAATGAAGTACTGGTCGATAAGTTTTGTACCGTGTGCATCCTGTGACGAATACTGGTAGACGGCTGTAATGCTGTAGGCAGCGTCATTCGCTACCGGCACTACCACTTTAGTATTTGGGGAAGAAGGGAGGAAGGAGTAGAGGAGTAGAAGTAGGAGTAGGAGTAGGCGTCGGAGTAGGCGTAGCAGTAGCAGTAGCAGTAGTAGTAGTAGTAGTAGCAGTAGTAGCAGTAGCAGTAGCAGTAGTAGCAGTAGCAGTAGCAGTAGTAGCAAGTAGTAGGTAGTAGAAAAAGTCGTAGTAAAAGTAGTCATAGTAGTCGTCGTCGTTGTCGTCGCCGTAGTCGTAGTTGTAGTTGTAGTCGTAGTTGTAGTCGTAGTCGTAGTCGTATAGTCGTAGTCGTAGTCGTAGTCGTCGTAGTAGTCGTAGTCGTAGTCGTAGTCGTAGTCGTAGTAGTAGTAGTAGTAGTAGTAGTAGTAGTAGTAGTGGTAGTAGTGGTGGTAGTCGTAGTGGTAGTGGTAGTGGTAGTCGTAGTCGTAGTAGTAGTAGTAGTAGTAGTAGCAGCAGTAGTAGTAGTAGTCGTGGTGGTGGTGGTGGTAGTGGTAGTAGTGGTAGTAGTGGTAGTAAGTAGTGGTAGTAGTGGTAGTAGTGGTAGTAGTGGTAGTAGTGGTAGTAGTAGTTGTAAGGGTAGTAGTGGTAGTAGTAGTTGTAAGGGTAGTAGTTGTAAGGGTAGTAGTGGTAGTAGTGGTAGTAGTGGTAGTAGTGGTAGTAGTGGTAGTAGTGGTAGTAGTGGTAGTAAGTAGTGGAAGTAGTGGTAGTAGTGGTAGTAGTGGTAGTAGTGGTAGTAGTAGTTGTAAGGGTAGTAGTGGTAGTAGTGGTAGTAATGGTAGTCGCGGTAGTCGTGGTAGAGTGTTAGTCGTGGTCGAGTGTTAGTCGTGGTTTTCGTGGTAGTCGTGGTTGTCGTGGTAGTCGTGCGGTAGTCGTGCTAGTGGTGGTGGTCGTGGTTGTCGTGGTTGTTGTGGTTGTCGTGGTTGTCGTGGTTGTCGTGGTGGTCGTGGTACTCGTGGTACTCGTGGTACTCGTGGTACTCGTGGTACTCGTGGTACTCGTGCTACTCGTGCTACTCGTGCTACTCGTGCTACTCGTGGTGGTCGTGGTGGTCGTGGTGGTGGTGGTGGTGGTGGTCGTAGTAGTAGTAGTAGTAGTAGTAGTAGTAGTAGTAGTAAGAGTACTAGTAGTAGTAGTAGTAGTAGTAGTAAGAGTACTAGTAAGAGTACTAGTAAGAGTACTAGTAAGAGTACTAGTAAGAGTACTAGTAAGAGTACTAGTAAGAGTACTAGTAAGAGTACTAGTAAGAGTACTAGTAAGAGTACTAGTAAGAGTAGTAGTAAGAGTAGTAGTAAGAGTAGTAGTAAGAGTAGTAACTGAGTAGTAGTAAGAGTAGTAGTAAGAGTAGTAGTAAGAGTAGTAGTAAGAGTAGTAGTAAGAGTAGTAGTAAGAGTAGTAGTAAGAGTAGTAGTAGTACTAGTAGTAGTAGTAGTAGTACTAGTAGTAGTAGTAGTACTAGTAGTACTAGTAGTAGTAGTAGTAGTAGTAGTAGTGGTAGTAGTGGTAGTAGTGGTGGTAGTCGTAGTGGTAGTGGTAGTGGTGGTGGTAGTGGTAGTAGTAGTAGTAGTAGTAAGAGTAGTAGTAAGAGTACTAGTAAGAGTACTAGTAAGAGTACTAGTAAGAGTACTAGTAAGAGTACTAGTAAGAGTACTAGTAAGAGTACTAGTAAGAGTACTAGTAAGAGTACTAGTAAGAGTACTAGTAAGAGTACTAGTAAGAGTAGTAGTAGTTTTATCTCCCAGTCAAAGAGCAGGCAAGGACCGTACGGGAAGTGATAAGTTCCCAAGCAGCAGTAGTAAGAGTTAGTAGTAGAGTAGTAGTAAGAGTTGTAGTAGAGTATAATGATAGTAAGTAGTAGTAGTAGTAGTGGTAGTGGTAGTATTAGTACTAGTAGTAGCAGTAGTAGCAGTAGTAAGCAGTTAGCAGTAGCAGTTAGCAGTAGCAGTAGTCGTAGTATAAGAGTAGTAGTAAGAGTGAGTAGTAAGAGTAGTAGTAAGAGTAGTAGGAGCGAGTAGCTGGAAAGTAGTAGTAGCCCCTCCCCCATAGGCTCCCAGTCAGTAGTCAGCCCAGCCAGGTAGTATAGTAGTAGTAGTAAGAGTACTCGTAGTAGTAGTTAGTAGTAGTAGTAAGAGTACTAGTAAGAGTACTAGTAAGAGTACTAGTAAGAGTACTAGTAAGAGTACTAGTAAGAGTACTAGTAAGAGTACTAGTAAGAGTACTAGTAAGAGTACTAGTAAGTACTAGTAAGAGTAGTAGTAAGAGTAGTAGTAAGAGTAGTAGTAAGAGTAGTAGTAAGAGTAGTAGTAAGAGTAGTAACTGAGTTGTAGTAAGAGTAGTAGTAAGAGTAGTAGTAAGAGTAGTAGTAAGAGTAGTAGTAAGAGTAGTAGTAAGAGTAGTAGTAAGAGTAGTAGTAAGAGTAGTAGTAAGAGTAGTAGTAAGAGTAGTAGTAAGAGTAGTAGTAGTAGTAGTACTAGTAGTAGTAGTAGTAGTACTAGTAGTAGTAGTAGTAGTAGTACTAGTAGTAGTAGTAGTAGTAGCAGTAGTAGCAGTAAGAGTAGTAGTAGTAGTAATAAGAGTAGTAGTAAGAGCAGTAGTAAGAGTAGTAGTAAGCGTAGTAGTAAGAGTAGTAGTAAGAGTAGTAGTAAGAGTAGTAGTAAGAGTAGTAGTAGTAGTACTAGTAGTAGTAGTAGTAATAGTAGTAGTAGTAGTACTAGTAGTAGTACTAGTAGTAGTACTAGTAGTAGTAGTGAGAGTAGTAGTAGTAAGAGTAGTAGTAGTAAGAGTAGTAGTAGTAAGAGTAGTAGTAGTAGTAGTAAGAGTAGTAGTAAGAGTAGTAGTAAGAGTAGTAGTAAGAGTAGTAGTAAGCGTAGTAGTAAGAGTAGTAGTAAGAGTAGTAGTAAGAGTAGTAGTCAGGGTAGCAGTAAGAGTAGCAGGAAGGGTAGTAGTAAGAGTAGTAGTAAGAGTTGTAGTAAGAGTAGTAGTAATAAGAGTAGTTTTAAGAGTAAGAGTACTAGTAAGAGTTGTAGTAAGAGTAGTACTAAGAGTAGTAGTAAGAGTAGCAGTAAGAGTAGCAGTAAGGGTAGTAGTAAGAGTAGTAGGTAAGAGTAGTATTAAGAGTAGTAGTAAGAGGAGTAGTAAGAGTAATAGTAAGGGTGGCAGTAAGAGTAGTAGAAAGAGTAGTAGTAAGAGGAGTAGTAGTAGTAGTAGTACCTGGGGGGTGGACTTGATTCAGACAAAGCAAAAACGCGCAGCAAGAGAACAAAGGAACAAGTACAAACCAAGAACAGAAACAAGAACAACACCTTCCAATCAGACACGCCGGCAGGCCGGCGGATTCACTTGATTCAATTTGAGTGTGCAAGAAGTACTGGTGTTTGATGGCTCTAAGAGCATTTGCAGGGCTGACGAGACTCATACTTGAATATTTGGAGACAACCTTTGGGATTATTTGTATTTGCATCTCCTCTTTTGAGGCGCTTCTTTCAATCCTGTTTCTACTCTTTGAAGGTACACAACCGTCAATATTTTACATCAGTTGTGCAGCGGAACCAAGACTTCAAATTACATATGATGTTTTGAAACTGGGCGCATTGTAAAGTGCTGGTGCCATGACTCTGGTTGATTCCATTGCTTTTGAGTGCGCTCAGCTGAGAAAGTGCCTACGCAGCAGTTACTGGATAGATGTCTTTTTCGGCCATGTAGGTCCCTGCAAACAGACAACCTTTTTTCGCAGACGGTATGACTTATGACAATCAGAACTATGAACATGCCCAAACTGAAACGCAGCATGACTTGCAGCTGCTTCCCAAGCAGATGTGTTTTTTTTGCAGTAGAGCACATTGACGTTTTGATCTTTGGGTTTGGCTGCTGAGGGGAGACTGCTGAGGGCGCCAAGTTCCTTGAGATCCGACCAAACATCCTTTGCGAGTCTGCATCAGATTTGATCAGGCGTTGTGGCCGTGCTTAGAATCTGTCTCTATGTGAGCAACGCTGGGATTCTTGGAACAACACAGAGGTTTGCAACAGCAGCGCCCATAA